GTAATTAATAAAAATTCTCGCATGTAATGCGCTTTGCCTTTAAAAAAAAAAAAAACTTACAGATCAATATTATTATACTGCTAATAAAGTATTATACAAACAAGTTTTTTTAAAAAAAAGATATTATAGATATCTATTTAGGGCTTTTTCAAAAAGAAAATATTATAAATAAATATTAGTAATAATAAAATTAAAAGTCAAAAATGATAAAGCAAAACTCTTATTATATAAGATTGATTTATAAACAAGTTAGAAAAAAAATATAGAATAATAAATACTTCAAACTATAAAAATTAGGAGAAAAGTTAAAATTAAGAAGTATCAGAGAAGCAGCCATATAAAAATTAAGAAAAAGAAAAAATTAAAAACAAAAGAACAAGAAAAACATAGAGTTAAGAATTTTACAAACCAAAAAAAAGCCATTGAAAAAGAACTAAACCAAAGTTAAAATCAAAGTAAGATAACAATTTGGAAATAAATTAAAGAAGAAAAGTAGTCTAAATTTTGTTCAAATAAATTATAATAATAAACTGCAGATAATGATTTTTAACTTCAAATTCTATAAATGAATAAAGAGTAAAGAGTGCAACTTTTTTCATTTTTAAAGTTATATTTAGAAATATAGTCTAGAACAGATATTTAAGATAATAGAATAGTTTATACAATACAATATATTATATATTATTAATATTTATATTATAATATTTTTTTTATTTTTAATTAAACTATATGTCACTTATATTTATTTGTTTCAAATTTTTGAAATAAGTAATTCTAGCATAAATATTTTATAAATATATATATTATCAATAAAACTTATTATTACTATAAAAAAAATTCTTTTCTATAAATTCTTTTTTTTCAAAAATTTTCTTTTATAATAGTAGGCAAAATTTTAAGAAGAAAAAAAACAGCAAGTGCTTTTGGGAGCTCAACTCCTAAGGGCAAATTCCCAAATACTTCCTATATTCTTCTGAATATTGTTGTCTTAAATTCAAGCAACCATTTATTCTTTGTAGTTTATAAGAAAACCAATTTAAGCAATATTTTAATCACTGAACCAGCAAAATATGTATCCATCCCTCTTCTAACTAACACTTCCAAATTTTGAATTGTACCTTTACAAAACTCAAATATTAGTAACAATCTTTCACAAGTGGACATTACCTTTATTGGATTTAAACAAGTAATAGCCAATCCCAGCTTCTTCTCACATCCCTACACAACAATATCTTTATTTATTAACAATATGAAAAATAATATTCAAAACAATCTCAATGACTTCTTTTCTTATCAGAAGAGAAATAATCTTGCCTTCAATATAAGAAAGACTATTGCAAGGAGTGTGCTAGACAATAACCTCAACTATATATTTCATCTTTCCTAAAATCAAGTTAATGTTATTAAAAATAGAAACAAATTCATACTGGAGAAAATACAAAATGCATCAATATACCCACCATCCAATATACCAGTCCAAAAGGATAAATCAGAAACCTCAAGCCAAAATCTTCTTGCAAACCCAGCAGAAAAAAAATCAGTATCTCAAATTCCAAAAAACCCCCCCAAGTAGCTTACCCCCTTCAAAGGATCAATAATGTATTATAGTTTCACCAAACTTATTCAATACACAAACATGCAAACCCCTGAACACAAATCCCTTATGTGATTAACAAGCTGCAGGTGACATGATGCAAATAGATAATTATCAATTTGCAGTTATCTCTGAAGCCAATCAGGACAAATCTGGCAATACCATTAGACTGACCAAGTTCCACATCAGATGCAAACATCTTCATAAATCCATTGAACCAGGATATTTTACTGGGAAATACTGATTCATTAATCGAATTTGATAAACAAATGCAAATTGATCTGAATACTCTTCAAAATTCTTTCTTGGAAATTATACCCACCTTGCTTGTATCAATATCAATATCTTCTCAAATGAATTAATGCTAAATGTCAATATATAAAACACATATACCATTCCTTCAACTAGCAATAAACCAAACTTGATAGGGAACCTTATTAATTCTCCAGACCTCTCTACAATCTCAAACAGTGTCCTGAGTTTGCCAGCAATGAAGCCCGTAAATCCCAAAGAACAGAAAATTATCAACTTGTTAATGGAAAGTGATCCAAGCTTGCAATATTCTATAGATAATACTATACTAGCACCACAAATTAACACCTCCAAGCCTTTTATCAGTGAGCATGATATTATTATTAAACTTGCTTTCCAGCTAAGTCAATACTGGACAAAAGCTCAGAAAGTAGTTGAAGTCTTTAAAGATATTAAAAACAAGTCCAAAGGATCAGTCGCACAAGAGCCATACTTTGCAATCTTCACAAAAAGAGACAGAACCTTTTTCAGATCATTTACTAAAAATGAAAATTTGAAAGAAAACCATCAAAAAGAATATAAATCCCTTGAGAACAAGTTTCATAAAAATTACAAAAAATATTATAACATAGGATACATTAATCACTTTATCAAATAGAAAATGTGCTGAATCCTGAACTCATTTTTCTTTGTTGCTTGTTTAAGATTCACAGATTTAGCCAAACTCAAATTTTATGAAATTGCTCAACTATTAGAATTTGAATATAATTATTTTCTCAAAAACAATAACAAAACAGTTGACTATATAGAGCTATTAGAGCTTTGCAAGCAACTACTTTATAAATCCCTTTCACCTCTTCCTGAAACTTACAATCAAATTCCAATAGAAATGATAGTTAAACACTACTGATTAGAGGAAAGAAGTATCTACCAGCTATTCTTTTGATATTGCACACATACTACAAATTTATTCTTCTTCCTAAATCATACTTCTTTAATCCCTTTCCACTATCAGAAGACACTCTCCAACCTAAGTAATTAAACAGTCTGTTTGTTTCCCATCACGATCAGAAAGGACTTAAATTCTCTTTCAGATAGAATCTGAAAACTTAACAAGTTCTATGAAATCCTATCAAAATTGCCCAAATCATACTTTGAATTTCCTTCTCCAAAAAAACCTTTGCCAATATTATATAAGCTTTTACCAGTATAACTGGCTATATATTTCTCTATAATCCAACAATTATGAATACATAGGAATTAATCAATATTTTAAGAAGGGAGTACAGTCTTAAAACCTTACCACTGGACTTCTATAAGTTCAAAAGACCTTTCTCTCACTCCTCTAACTTTCTACTAGATGAGATTGACATAATAATTTCAGCAAATACTAAGAAGAATGCCATTTCCTTTATTAACTGTCTCAAAAGAGATTTCAAATTTAATTTCCCACTAGGTCCTCTGTAGATTGACCTATCCATTTCACAAACAAACAAGAAAAAATTATCTTCTAAATCAGCAATATTGATATATCTCTCAAAATTGAAATATCTATTTCTTGCCTAAGCTAAGGAAACTGAGTACAAGATATAAGTTCTATATCCTGCCCAAGGAATGGTTCAAAGCTTCAAAAGTTTCATTACCAATCATAGAGGAGCTCAACAAATACAACAAAGAAAACCAAATTGACATTCACTTTCCACTTAAAGATGATGATGAGCTACCTACATTTATAACACAACTTTATAGAAGTTATAATTTTAACAGACTTCTTAATAATTACATTCTAATAAAAGATTTACCAGTAAAGATGGGTCCTTAAATTAAAGGCAAAGACATAATTCAAATGTTCTTTACTATTAAAAAAGTTTTTTTAAAAATATAAAATCAAAAAAAAACTATTTACAAAGGTTTTTTGTAATTTAGGCCACTTGATTCCAAATGTTTTTTGAATTATGTTTCTATTAAAATAATGAATAAATAATTATGTCCCTTCAAAAAGAACATAATTGATCTGTAAAATTTTATATGCTAAATAATTTAGGGATTCATCCTTATCTACTGGAATCCAGTTTTGATTTTATCCCTTTCATTTGTTAATATATCCGAACCATTCAACTTTATATACTCATTAAATAAAAACACACAACATATCACTTCTTTCAAACCTCCTAGCTCTCAAATAAGAAACTTACTGAATGTCTTAACACTAAATGTACGTGGCCTAAATAACAGCTCTAAGCTCATAGCATTAGCATACAATCTCAAAAACAATAGATCAATTTTGTGCTGCTCTGAAACAAAAATATCAAGGAATAATCTCCTTTCAAGAAAACTTAATAATCAAATTATTATCATTAGCATTTCCTCATATTTATTAAAAAATAATACTTGTTTAATAGTTGACAAGGGCTTAAGTAACCATATATTCAAAACCTATACTGAGAATGAGTACTAGTATACAATACACTTCAAATTTAAATCAAAAATTGATCTAATTGTTACAGCTATATATTTATCTCATGAGTTAAAAGAAAGAAAAATTGTAACAAACTCTCTAATAATCAAAATTCAGTAATCAAACTTTTCAAAAAACATTGTCTCCATCCATAGAAAAACTTTTGGAAACTCACCTATTACTATTAAAATGCTCAATTATATAAGGAAAGTATTAATCAAAGAGAGATTCTATTGTATCAAAGAACAACAAATTAAAAAAATTCATACAGCTTTTGTAAACAATCTCATCAAATTCTGGAAAAGACCAAAGAGCTTTATTAAAAAGGCTTTGGATATAATGATTTTAGTTTGTCAAAATTTTTCTAATCAATTGTTGTTTTAATTATAATCAACTAGTTGCAACTAAAAATTTCTATACTCTGATTGGTTAATTTTAAACTTTTTAACTAACAATTTGTAATACTATCTGGATGATCTAAAACCCTTACTAAATTTTGATATAATTCAGAACAGTAATGGAAACCTAACTGATAATCCCGAAGAAATCAAAGCAATAATAAATAACCACTTTAAGATAATTCTTGCAAACAATAATTTCAATCCTACAAGCACTCTTTGGGAAAAAGTATACTTTCCAATTGGCTTAATTATGGACGACATATATAATGAAACTCAAGATCAAATCAACTTAAAAGAACTCATAAACATGCTCAACGAGGCTCCAACAAACAAAACACCTGGAACATCAGGAATTATCTATAAAATAATTAATGCTCTTGGAAACAGCTCTAAAGAAATTCTCTTGTAGTTATACAACTCCATTCTCAGCAATGAACAAATACTATAAAAATGAAAAAGCTTAACAATAGTGTTTCTATCAAAGAAAATAATTTGGTTATATAAAATAGCAGATACTCATCCAATTTCATTAATTGAATCAACTAGAAAATTTTTTACAAAAATTATTAATATTAGACTATCAACAACTCTCACAAAAAATAATATTTTGTTTAAAACTAACTTCATAGGTTTAACAGAACAAAGTACAATAGAACTATTAATTATAACCACATTAGCTTTAAATATAGCCATTAATCTCAACAATAAACTTTGGATTATCTCCTTTGACATTACAAAAGTATTTGATTTGATAAACCTCAATAGTCTCAAAGTAGTCCTTTACAAAATTAAAATATCAAACAAATTAGTCAATATATTTTACAATTTACTAAATAATTGAGAACTTGCTATAGCAATCAACTTTGATAAAACAAATGGATTCACTATATCTAAAGGATTAGATTAAGGGGAAACTTTTTCTTCACTTCTTTGGACAATCTTCTATGATTCCATGATTTCAACTATTTACAAGCAACAAGATTATCCATTAATTTTCTTGCCTATATGGATAATATATTGCTAATAGCAAAATTACTATCCAAACTTCAAGAAACTATTGATATTTTCTGCTTCTTTCTTGCTCTCAATATAATTAAGATAAAACCACTCTGATTACAACCTTAGGAAACATCCATCATAAAAGAAAGATTGTGCTTCAAGTTCTTGATTTAGAGATTAAATCCTTATTACAAAAATATCAATGTACTATCTCAGGAATTATTACTCTAGAAATATAACAGATAATCTATTCAAATATATCCTGGTCAATAATCTAAACCAAACTATTACAGCTTGCAGTAAACAAACCTGAAACTGTCCAATAACTAAACAAGTTATAGACTGGATTATTCCAAGCAAACTCGATTATACTCTATACTTCACTTTTCTACCCAGGCCATAACTTCTAATCCTCCAGGCCAAAGTCAACAATTTAGTTAAAATGAAATTCAAAATTGGAAAAACCATTTCTAACAAAGTCATATATTCTCAAGCAGATCTTAAATTTCTGAATCTATTAGACAGACAAAAGCTTACATTATTAAAAATTCTCGTTACAAAGCTATACAATCCAAAAATCAAGTCTGCCTTAAGCATAGAAATCAAGTCAATGCAAGTAAGCTGTACAATTTGACTTTGTCCAATATATTTTCCAAAAAAGTTCCAAAACAAATGGATTACTTAGGCAGCTCTAGTTTGCAAAAAGTATCAAATATCGGTCTGCTCTTCAAGTTATTAATTTATAGATCCTAATAGTAAACTTTTTTTTAAACTTTTTTTCTCTTTTAAGGATAAAGATCTTACTAGACAAGTACTTAGCCTTAGCTAGAACTCCGAAAAGTACTGAACTAGTATCAAAGTAATATTAAAATGGTACCGATCTATAGTAAATTTAATATATGGATTGTGACCCATTCATATGAATTTATAGTAAATTTAAGTATTGAACTGATATCAAACAGATATTGAAGTAGTATCATTAGGAGCCCTAGCCTTAACCAAAATAATGT